TAGGCAGGTCCTGATTCATAGCACGTTAGCACTGACAAGAGCAAGGGCAGGAAAGATAAAGAACAGTAATTTCCTATCTCCAAAGGTTTCATATCATGGTGTTTTTCAAACTCATTAGCAGTGACTTGGATATTTGCTGCCAAAAGAGATCAGGTAGGAAATTAAGTCCTAATACCTTGTAGATGTAGTAACCCTTGCTGTTGGTGCCTACCATAGTAGTTTTACACATTAAGTTTCCTGCTTAAGAATTAAGCAGCGACTATGAAGCCATCAGATGGGCTTACAAGTCTCTGGTATGTATTCTATTCTTGGAGTGGAAATTAAGGACATACAAGTTTGGCTTAATTATTTATAGCTAAAGCTCTATTTTAGATTAATGGTTTCCCTTCACATGTAGGTACCTGCTGTGGGTGCTGAACCATAATAGATCTCAGCCCCAGCAGAGCATTAATAAACATGCAGAGTGCTGTCTGATAGCTTGAGGGAGCGATGTAGCTTACAGTGAGCAATGTGGGTAATTAATAGCATCTTCCCTCTGTGTCCACTGCTCTGCTGGCCCTGCTTGGTCCGACCTGTGTGCAGGGGGTGCTCAGCTGTGTGGAGTCTTCTGTCCCTCCTGACTGCTTAGCAGCAGTTTCATCACTGCTATTGTCATGTAAATGACATGGAATAGCACTAGGGAAACCTTTACCAAGGATACCTTACACAAGGATTGAACAGCTACAAGGAGCCAGTAACATACCATCAAACAAATCACCATGGAGGTGGATGAGCTTTTGGTGGTGAACAGGGTATGGATTCTGAACTGCCGTGCACTGGAGCTGCATCCGTCACGCATAGTTCACTTCCAGGTGCTAGGCATTGGAAGAATGTACTTCCTTCACTACATCAAGTCTAGGTTGCTGGATGGTAGCAGCTTCTGCATAGGGCTGTGATAGCATTTTGCCATAGTTGTCACAGGGCTGCTTTTAAGGCTTTTGGAGAGAAACACTCTGGGTAGTGTCTTGCTCGTCCAAGTAAGCATGACGGGCTGCAGCGTGTAACCTCTACTCCCAAGTTAGCTGGAGGCCACTGGCAGCCTCTGGATCTCTAACAAGGGCCACAACTTTTTAAAGCTGAATTTCAGTCTAGAGATTGTATAAGTAATAAGCGATCTATTTTGCTATCCTAAATATCTGTAATCTGTGTGTTTTGTCAGATTTCTCTTCATTCTACTGGGACCGAAGGGCAAAGCAAAGTCCTATCATGAGATCGGCCGAGCCATCGCCACTCTGATGTCGGATGAGGTAGGTGACTTGACATCTCCTGTGTGAAATGGGTTCTCCCAGGTTTCACTACATTAGCTAATAATGATGTCCTTCCTCCAGCGTGGTTGATGGGAGTAGGCATACACATAAAGCTGAAATAACCAACTGTCAGCTCCTAATACTATCTCTTTACATAATTCTTTCACCTGGCTTCATGTTTTTGTAAAGGCATGACCGTGGGAAGGTTTTATCCGTCGTTTATATTTTCCTGCTAGCAGTCACTCTTTGAAACAGACTATGAATTAATCTGAGAATTGATGATCTCACGGCGTGCACCTTGTGTCACCTTCCACCATCACAGTACCCGCAGCTGCGCGCTGGGTCATTACCGCAGGAGTGGTTACACCCGGGACATAGCGCCGTGTGTTGCACTGTGTCCCGGAGCACTTCTTCATGCAGGCAGTGCTTATATATTATCTGTGAGTAGCTAGCGGTTACTCACTGATCATACACCTCAGTGAGATGACTGGGCTTTCAGTATTCGTTGCAGCTTCTTTCTTCCAGCGTCCCTTGGGCTCTGAGCGTCTGGGGCTGATTTACTTGATGTTTGTTTTTTGCTTCATGCCCTCATACAGTTCCCTTAATTACCACTTGTCCTGTCTCAGCGCTTCTGTTTTCTGTCATTCCACTGCTTGGAGCAATGATCTGGTTTCTATAGCCCCAGAGTCCTTCTCCCTACCACCAACTGTTCTCAAGTCTGTCATGTGTGCTGATGCACCTTCACGCCAAGAATGCTCTTTTTCCTCTTTTCTCTCATCCCTTCTTCATAAGTAATACTAGGCCTTTCAGTAAAACCGTTTTGTGCTTCTTGTCACTATTTCTGAGTAAATATTGTCATCGTTTCTATGTCACGAGGTGGAAAACTAACCTATTTTTTGACAGACTGAAATAGGTAGAAAAAAAGGATCGACACTTTTTTGTGGATTTGTAAATGTGTCTACTCAAAGCATAATTGAAACTCCTTATTTATAGGAAGACTTTTTTTTTGGATTAAAGAAATGGATAATTGCTTTAGTAACATTTTTTAAATGTTAGAAATGTATATCTGGCTAAAAATGAGAAATATGCCTGCAAGAAAAGAATCTCTATCATAGAACGACCAGTCAAAGGAAGGGTCTTTCTGAGGTTCACACACCCTTATGCCAAATGTCCTGATACTTTTTGAGATGTTTTTGAGAATGAGTAAGTTGGTTTTGTAGAATAAAACTCAGTAGCTGCCTCCAGAGTCTGGACTGCAGGAAATGCAAACTATTGCTACACGGAGTCTCTCTTTTCAGGTATTCCACGACATCGCCTATAAAGCCAAGGACAGGCAGGACCTGATCGCTGGCATCGATGAGTTTCTGGATGAAGTCATTGTGCTCCCCCCTGGGGAATGGGATCCAGCCATTAGGATAGAGCCCCCCAAGTCTCTTCCTTCTTCAGATAAAAGGTAATAGCAGGAGACAGGCAGGTTTTGCTCTGTGATGGATGACGGTGCCATCAGTTGTGAAAAGGTGATGGGAAGAGACAGTATTTTGGGTACGCCAGGTTTATTGAGCAACTGCAGAGTGACCTGCATATGTTTGTTTGTATTTAGAAAGTACTAGACATATTTTCAGGTCTTTCTTAATAGCTGGAGAAAGGATGTTCTTGCAACGCTGTACACTTTAAGGTGATGTTGTAGATATGTAATGACATACACAGTGGTTTTCTAGACTCTTTGGGGTTCTGCTTGTTCTTCTAACACGCTGCATTCCACTCTGGCTGCCAGCAGGTGAGTCTCCTAGTCTCCTTTGTACAGCATGGCTTCAGGAAAGTCTGTGTGACACTTGTTTGGAGGAACTGTGTGTGGGTTATGTTTTGTGGAGCGGTCAGGTAGTGCAGTTGAGCCTCAGTTTGGCTTGCCTTCTTGCCTAGGAAAAACATGTACTCCGGTGGAGAAAATCTACAGATGAATGGAGACACCCCTCATGATGGAAAACACGGCGGCGGGGGCCACGGGGACTGTGAAGAACTGCAACGAACTGGCAGGTTGGTAACGTGCCACTCAACACGATGTGCCTGGTCTGATCCCAGCAAGGTGGCAATGTTGCCCTTGCAGAACCCTTTCACCCCTTCTGCCTTCCAGCCCCACATACTGCTTGTACAGGTTGAGCTGTGAGCCCGAAACATGTCCTGGGGATTTTGGTGCCCAGCTTGAGACTCTCTGAACCGTTCTGAACATCCCATCTTGGCCAATTACAAAGTGTCTTAAATGAGGCACTCAAAAATGGCAGAAGGGGCAGGTAGGTGTTGGCTGTTGAAAGTCTGAAGTTAGATGAACTGTAAGGGGTGTAAACATGGCAGGTACAGATACAGTCTCCATTTGGATTGCTAGCAGTGCTTTAGCCAAAAGCAGAGACATTCCCTTTTCGAGGCATTCCAGTTGTAGTTGAATTGTGCAGATGAAGGCATTTATGGGATAGAAATACAGAAGGTAGCTGAGCCTGAGGCCTTACTCTCTGCTTTGTGACTGCTTGTATGCCACGTCAAAGTCTGCTAGAGTGGGAGTGCAGTTCAGGAGACCATAAAACAGTGCGCGCAGCATTTCAGGGTCGATACTTGGGTTTTCATGGTAGCATTGTGCCCTCCCTCACACTCTATTTTTTTTTTTTTTTTTTAAGTTCTAGTAAAATATCTAAATTCTAGAAGAAAAGTCTGAAATTCCACATTGGTGTGTACAGGGCAGTCGATACATCCTGATTCTGGGTCTGAAAGTAATGCGTGTTTACCTGCCATGTACCTCGCTGCGTACGGAGTGTCTGAACAGTCCCGGCAGTGGTGGTGAAGGGTGTACAAGGGAACAAGAGGCAAAACAGAAACACTTTTAATGCTGTCAGTGTCAGACCCACGTGGAGCTTATAAGAGTTAAATACAGTCTTGTCTGTGATTGTACAAAAAGGATATGTCTGCAAGTGAAGCTCTCGTTCTCCAAGATGATTTCACTTACTTGCATTTTTACTTCTTTTTATCGTTAATGGTTTGAAGCATTTTTCCATTTAGCAGATTTTTTGGCTCATCCAACCATTGTGTCTGCCATGTGGAGAAATTTAGGCAGGGATTTAGACTAGAGTTAATATATTTTATTACATCAACCAATATAGTTGGGGAAAAACCAAACCAAAACAGACAAACTTCCAGAGGTGCAAACTTCAGTTTTCTGTTTCAGCAGAAGTAGGGGTTGTGTTCCTGAAATTTGTCTCTTTCCAGCTGCATCCCATGTTCAAGATACTCTCTTTCTTTACGTTATCTCGGTGATATCCCTGCACCATCACAGCTGCAATAAGACTGTTATGTAATGTGATGATCTCACTCCCTTCAGATAATACTTCATTTCTGGCAATGTTTCTGATTACTTTTCTTGTTGACTTTCACTGCAAAACGTTTTGTGCGAGTCTTCTCTTGCTTGTCTTTTCAGATTCTGTGGTGGCTTAATCAAAGACATAAAGAGGAAAGCACCGTTCTTCGCCAGCGACTTCTACGATGCTTTAAATATTCAAGCCCTTTCAGCCATTCTTTTCATCTACCTGGCCACAGTGACCAATGCTATCACTTTCGGAGGATTGCTAGGTGATGCTACGGAAAACATGCAGGTTAGCAAGAGCTTTCAGAAGCAACAGACCTGTCACTTGCCTTTTGCTATCTACAGTCAGAGGGTTGCTTGGCCACTAACAAAGCTTGATTTCTGGGTACAATTAATAGAGGTATCCTGTGTTTCCACTGAAAGTTGGCTCGCTTTCTCTGCTGTTGGATGGCTGTCCTTTGAAAAACTCTACAAGTGGTTACCTTAAATGGTGTTTGAAAGATGGCCAGGCGACAGAGAAGGTCCTGGCTCCTTCTATGTAGAGAAGTTCTTCTGATCTACTCTCTGTGTTTGTGTCTCAGTTGAATGGTTTCAGTCCAATTAAGTTTGCTAATTCTGATTCAGACTTTCCATGTGATCAGAGCACAGCGCTGTATCCTGCGTGACTCTTACAGTCCCTGGACTTCTGCCTCTGGTGAAAAGAAAATCCTAAAATTCGTAGGAAAGTGAGTAAGTCAGGACTCATGACACAGGAGAAAAATGTGAGCTCTTTAGAAAGATGAATTTTGTAATAGTCAAAGATCAGATCCTGAGAACTGTACTGCATATCCAGACACAGACTGGATCAGTGGTGAAGGCAAAAATAGGGACTTCAAAGAACGGCTCGGTTTTAGATGAAGTCTAAAGGAAAGGGATTCTGTATTAACACCGCTGTAGGTTCTTTGTGTTTGACTGGAGCAGAATTAGCCTCTAGCAGTGCGCTTTAGTATTCCTTTGGCTTTTTGAAGAGGAAGAAAACATAGGAGGTTGTATTTAGATAGATTCCTTGCAGCCATGTTGAATCTCCTAACAATAATTAAGCTCACAGGGACAGTGACAGTGACTGAATTACTAATTTATACAGGTTTAATTAATCAAACATAGAAAAGGGGGGCACATATCTGGAGCCCTGAACTTCTCCATGATAAATTACAGGCTAGAGTAAGATTCAGAGGTTGTCTTTATTCTGTAGTTTTCACTGCAGTAGGTAAAACCCGGTCTGAGTTTTCCTGTTGCTCAGAGGGGAAAAAAAGTCCCTAGAAAGACAAAAGCTGCAGGAACAGTCTGTTCTGAGCTCAGTGATTTACTCTCCATGTTGAAAAAGGAAACCATTGGTGACATGCAGTTAAGAATACTGCTTAGGTAACGGGGAAACTGCGGCAAATACAAACACAGCGTAGCTGTTAATGACAAAAAACTCCAGGAGCAGCAGAAGGAACCAACACGCAAGTCCTGTCAAAGGCTTTGTCCCTCACTTCTCCGGGGTTTGTGCTTGGTGAGGAGGGACTTGGGGGTGTATCCGGAGAGGAGCACTGGCAGCAAGGAGCGCGGGGTCTGTGGATATGCCCCCCCAGCTGCCTGCTTCCATTTTGCCATTAAACTTCAATTGGCAGTAGTGGAGCAAAGTGCAGGAAAGTCATCACTGAGTCGCTAGAAAAACCAAATCTGTCCGGACAATCCATAATATAGCCAAGGCTCAATGCAGGAAAACATCATCCATTATTTTCTGATTTGTGCACTTCAACATTTACTTGCTTCTCATGTACAATAACCAGTTCAATTTACTGTTTTTCATTTATGTACTGATTGAAAATTGAAGTACCAGCAGTTTTTCTGAACAGTACACTGGCAGATCAGAGCTTTAGAGAGTTTGGACACAACTGGCTCTTCTTTTGCCATCTCCCTTCAACAAACCTTTTCTCACCATCCTTGTTTGAAAAGGCATTAGGTATGTTGGCTGCTGCCAGAGCCTGGAAAGGGTTTTGATTGCAGGTTTCCAACAGGAGAGCAAAGTTGCAGGTTCTTCATGCTCACATGCCCCTGTATCATCAGAGTCAGCATCCCACAGTTCCCAGGTCAAGTTGTTCCTCCAGGGAGCTGCTCAGTGGGATCAGAGTCCAGGTTCATGTCAAGTGTTGCTCAAACCGGTGCGCATTCCTACAGTGGGAGAGAGTGTGGAAGCGTGGTTTTCAGTGAGACATCTCAGCGCATGAGCTGCACTGAGCCTTTATGCTCAGAAATGCGAGGGAAGGTTATGCCAGCTTCTGCAGCTGAACAGCAGCCCCTAGAAATTTTCCCCTGGACATTTTGTCCTCATAGAAAACAGTATTTTTGGGCCTACTACATCAGGTTCATGCATCTTGTAGACAATTATGTGACCGCTGCTGGGTCAGGCGTTAAAAATCGCTTGTCCCGTGCTGCCTGCCCCAGGGAGCCTGACACAGCCAACGTTTCTTTAAAAGCTCACTTCAGAGTTTTATGTTTCTGAGAAGAGACACTATTCTTAGCTACAGACACGTGGAAGAATGCAGGGAAAAGAGATTCCAGATGCGCTGGCTGTGAGGGCCCTCTCCGTGAGTAATGTGGGAGGGGCGAATGGGGTCAGCTGTGCGAATGCCGTTCCTTGCCCCAGAAGCTGTTGTCTCATCCTCACAAGTTCCCCAAAGGCAGCAAGCAAAGGCTCCCAGGCTCCTGTCCGTGTCTCCTGTGAAAACCTGTGCAGTCCTTGTGTGAAGGCTCAGAGCATCGCAGCACACCGATCTCCCTCGTGCTGAGCCCTGCCAGGGCCTGGGCGGTTAGCGATGGGCATCACCAGTAGCACTTAGAAGTGAAAAGGACTAAGGATGTTGCCTCCCGCTAAGGCGAGGCTGTTTCTGCCTGCTCTACAGAAGCTTGTCTAGACTGAGGAGTGACTGAGTATGTGTCAGCAACAGGCAGCTTTTAAACCTTCCTCGCCTTTTGCTTCTCCGCACAGCTGTCACACTGCTGCTTGAATTACCCAGCAGTGACAGTGCTTGAGCAATGGTATCTTGAGATCGAATTGGGGGCCAGGAAAATAGTTTATGATTGCTTTACAGAAAGTTCTGCTAGTAATTTACTAGATGTAAAAAAACCTTCTGCTCTACATAGTAACGTACTGCTTTGACGCAGGACAGAATGACTATAATTCCCTCAGTGTAAACAGTAACTTGGGTCTTTCCAAGAAAGAGAGCCGCAAAACTTAATTTAAATTCTTCGCATTACCACTGATAAGTCAGAAAAGCTGCAGCCTCGACCCTGCAGATTGTCATGGTTGGAAAGAAGGATCTGCATGTGCCATTAATTGCTGGTTCCTCAGCATGTGCAGCGTTAATGAGGCTGCAGGTTCAGATAGAGCTATAATGGAGCACATAAGCTTCTGCTTAAATCTGCCCCGGTTGTTGGGTAAGTATTCCTGGAGAGGGCGATGCTGATGGCTGCGCGTCTTACACAGTAGAAGATGATGTTCTTGTTGTTCCTTTAAAAGTCGGTCATCAGAGTTGTTTCCATATAAGAGCAAATGAGCTAAGGTCCTGCGAACTCTGCCATTTTTGTGCATGCTCAGTCAATGATCACATTTTATTGCCATTTATATTTCATCCACCTTTGGCATTTTAAAAGTAGATATTGTCCAGGTCTAGTTGGACATGAAAATCCAAGAATGCATCAGTCATGCTCTTTTATCCTCCAGTGAAGGTGTTTTGCCACACATGCCAAAGGTAATTGTGAAGCCTGTTAAATACTGAATTTGTTACTTGCTGGTGACATCTGATGAACTTTGGTCTTAACACATGGCTGCTGGATGAAGTAGCCTTGTTTGGTTTGTCTCACTTACTAAAAAGGTTACTTGAAAGAGAGGCATCGTGTTTATCTAGAAAGAGTGCCTGCTTAGTCAGAGACAGAAAAACCTACCCTCCATTGTCCTGGAGGGTGTCAGCGCTGTCCTCTCGCCATGCTCTGCCCTGTCTGTTTGAAGAGCTCTGCGAACGTGTATCTTCAGATACATGGATCTCCCAGAGGTGTGGGAGACATTCAAGGAACTCTCAAATCCTTTAAATGGTCTTTGAAAACACTCTTCTCCCCTTGTTGAATATAAAATACAATATAGTGTTATTAAACTCTGGGCCTCCGAAATAACAAGGGGGGTTACTGGTTATCCTGAGTAACTATGAATTGTGTGGGATGAACAGATCTTTGTGTGCAGCTGCGGGAGATGGCAGAAGATGGAGAAGATGTCTTCAAGGAGATCGTTTTGCAAGGAGATCCCTTAGTCTTGGAGATATCAGAGTACAGCATGCGAGCGATCACTGATGTAACTACTCGTTTTCTTGCAACAGTGCTAACAGAAAGGGTTATTCAGTGGAACTCCCTTCTCTCCCATGTCTACTGCAGGGCGTGTTGGAGAGCTTTCTGGGCACAGCAGTCACCGGTGCGATATTTTGCCTTTTTGCTGGTCAACCACTCACAATTTTGAGCAGCACAGGACCTGTCCTTGTCTTTGAACGGCTTCTCTTTAATTTCAGCAAGTAAGTACAAGGCGGGAAGGTGGGGAGGAATGTCACACTAATGAAATACCATCTAGGGAATGAGATGTCTAGCGGTGGGGAAGGAGGGGATTTAGTGTGTGAAATGAAACATCTTTGTTCCTTGTTGTTGAGACTGCAGTGCAATCACATCGGGGATTTTCACAGGCACGCATGTCCCAGGGCGCTGCCTGGTATGTGGGTGCATATCTCCTTGGGGCCTCTTGGAAATTCTTGGCCAAGTCTGTCCTGGATGAGGAGTTTGCGGTAGTTTCGGTCAGCGTGTGTTCCTCCCCAGCTGCTGCGTGTGTTTCCCTGGCTGCTGGGAACAAAGAAAGGAATCCAGCTCACGGTGATTTCACTAGCAAAATCCCACAGGTCTCAAGGTTACCAAAAATTTGTCCTTAAATCAGTACTCATTGGAAATAATCACTATAACTTATAAAAGCAAAAATACCTATGATAGAAACAGCTGTTGGCCTCTCTCTCTCTCCAGAATTCGTCGGTGAAGCTTTGCTGCCTTAAATCCTCTTGGGTTTTTTTTTCCTTTGAACTGGTGTGAAGAGGTTCTGCTCGCTCTCCACAGTGTTAAGGTTGATGCAGTGATGATAGCTGACACCCAGAGCTAAAGGGACCCTATTTTATTAGGTGTTGTCATTTACTGCTCCCACATCTGCAACGCTGGCAAAATATAATGAGAATCCCTCAAGGAATCAGCGTATGGATTGGTGATTTTATGTGTATATTCACTGATGATCTTACATGTAGGATTACTGATATTTTGAATGGTCTTCTGCGAGATCGTTTTAGGTTATACAGAAAACGTCCCAAATCACTTGTAGCCCTCCCTTCCCCCATCAGGGAGTGTTCACAGCAAGTTGTGAGAGACTTGTGTACACAAACCCAAGAGCTTTTGGAGTTAAGGCATTACGAGGCATTCTTTCAAAAGCAGTCACCTGTGATGTGGAACAGCTCTTCGGCCGTTGGTGGTTATTTTTAGAAAAGGTCTATTGAATTATTAAGCTGAACATGGCTGCAGGTTGCAGTAAGGCAGGAGACATGGTGTAGGTTTGGTTGTGTAATTCTACCTCCTTCCTCATTATATTTAATCCCTGTGGGTAGTTACTCTGAAATAATTGAGCGCGTATAATCACGGCTTTGCTGTGGATACTCGACATGTTGGAGAAGTCTCCTGAGGTACAGAGCTTCTACTGAGGCAGCCAGTGTATTTACATGTGATCCCACACAGGCAATGCTACCCTGGACTCTTCTGGAGTAAGATGATTTCATTTGGTTACTTACTTGATAATTCTAGTGGCAGCACGAGCAGTGTCTGTGAAAATAGCGCAGGGCAGGATGAATTGGGCAGGGTCTGATCCTCCTGCTGCGTTGTCAAAGTTGGTGTTACAATCAGTACTGTTGGGTTGGAAGCCCGAATGGCCTCGCAGCGCACTCTGACTGCTGTTAGAGCCATATTCGTGCCAAGCCGGGGAGAAGTTCATCTTGGAGTTGAGGATGCCATGGAGAGATGACCTGCACCTTCAACTGCAACGCGGTCCCCTCCTGCCTGGCCCTGGGACTGCCGCTCTCCTCAGCACGCTCTGCTCATCTCTGCCAAAGAGGAGCAGAGGAGGTGGACTTTGAGCCTCTCTCTTTCCCCTACTGGAACATAGGCAGGGAGGGATGGAGGCTAGAAAAAATGGACAGAAGGTTAGACTAGCCGGGGGAAGGAAACTGGAAGCTGCTGACTGGTGAGAGCTCTGCAGCAAAGCAAGGTGAGGGGGGCGCCTTTATTGTCTCTCTTCGAATGGAATAAATGAGTAAAACCAGGAATAGACATGCTATGGCTGTTTGCATCTGGCAGGCAGGTCAAAGCCCAGGTGCAGCACACAGAAGGCAAAAAGCAGGATGGAAAAATACTTTGTAGAGTTTGGGGAGGGAGAAGGTGGTTATTTTTAACCGGGGAGGAGGTGGTGGTTATAAAAGCTATTGTCCTAACAACCTGCTGGAGCAGAATGGTAGGATTTTTCGAGGGAGGCTTTCTCACAAGGAAATTGGAATCAAGTACTGTGATTTTTCAATAATGCATGTGTGGTTGTTCATATTCACAACACCCTGTTCCCTGCTGGGAGCAAAATTAGAAAGACTTCCCATCTACCGATTCATTTAAAGTTTGACTCTGTGTGTGTATGGCGAGATACCTTAAAAAGCCTCACGTACCAGCCGTGCATCTAGATTTGGGTGCCTGCCAGAGCAGCATTGGCCACACTGGCAGCAGTGTGGGTCGATGCTACACAACACCCCAGGTCAACTTGCGTCCTTGGCCTGGTGAGCTCTGCTCCCATGCAGAGTCTCCCCGATGCCCATTGCGAAATGAGTCTGGCTTTCTGAGCTGGAAGCAGTGTGAAGTGAGGCACTGGGCTCCCCAGGAAAGCAGGACCCCAGTCCTTCTGCCTTCCAGAGGCAGAAGCAGGCTGTTGGGAAAGTTTCACCTCCAGAGACCTCAGAAAGAAAATTAATGATGTCAGTCATCACGGCAGAAGTATTTAGCCTGTTGTATTGTGTATGTGAAGTGTCCTGTGCTTTTTCGTTTGCTCGGTGAGCTTCACAAGTGCTGCAGGACTCTGAGGGGTAAAAAAAAATGTAGTTTAAAACCTTTTGAAGTTCTTCGGTGGTGTGCAGTTGGGATGCCATCTGGGCTTCTCCACGCTGGGTCAGATGGATGGCAGCTCCTGCTCTCTGAGGCACTGACTCTGGATATTTCAGAGAGCTGTCACTGAGCTCTTTTATTATCATTATTTTTTCCCCTTCTCTTTTTCTAAATCATCACTTTATTTCTTCCTTGCTCCTTATCCCTCTTCCAGGTCAGACTCTCAGTGTGAGAAGGCTGCAGCCCTCCCTGAGATGTTTGTCTCCTGAGATGTTTGTCTACACTAAGGAGAAAGCCTTGCAAAGGCTTGCTTTGAATTCAGGTGCCCGACCCTGTCTGAGCCTACCTGTCCTCCGACCCAGGATCCTTACAGAAACGCACGATGCTGCCCAGCAGCAAGCCTTTAGCTGGCACCCTGCCTGCTCTGCAGCCTTTTCTCCGGTCTAACAGTCACAGGGCTGTAATTCCCCCGTTGAGATGCAATTTTGTTCTCTACCCTGCGGTTTTACACCACGCGCTGGAAGGCTGCCCTCGAGCCCCGTTGGCGGTGGGGTGGGTGCTTGGGGTGCACCCTGCAAAATTTCACCCCTGCCTGTGGGTGAATGCTGACAAAGCGTAGAGGTGTGTAACAGCACACCGTACCCGCCTGGAAATAGTCTGTAAAAACAGGTACGTGGGAGATGCCAGGACATTTCTCACTGTTACTATGCAAAGTTTGTCCATCTGCACTGGGGGTGGGACCAGCCTGTAGCCAGCTTGGAAGGCACCCGGTTTTGCCAGGTTGCAAGCACCCTACCAAGTGTTTTGCCACTGAGCTATAACCAGCCCTGGTACTCGGAGCTGATCCCTCTCCGAGGCACACGCAGTTGTCTGGAGGAGCCGTGGCTGGCCCACGCCTCTCCTCTCAGCATAGAATCACAGAATGGTTTGGGTTGGAAGGGACCCTAAAGATCATCTAGTTCCAACCCGGCATGAACAGGCCAGAGGGATTGTGCTGCAGGGCAATCCAGCAATTTCTTCCTCCCTCCTGCCTTGGAGAGGTATTTGAAGATGCTTTTCGGCTGTTATGTTTTAGAGCTGAGGGTAGTTATCTGGTGTAGCCTGCATCCCTAAGGTGTCCTGAAGAGAGCTTTTGCTGCTTTTTATTTAAAGGCAGACTCACAGGGAGAGACGTGCAGTTTTTCTTACAATGGTTGATGTAGCTGGGGGAAGGAAGGGATAAACTCCTGGGCCCCATCCCCTCCCCAGATGTTTCTGACACTGTTAGAGGCTTTGCTCTGAGACTTTCCATAGAAACTGCCCTTCCTCCTCTGTCCATCAACACTGCAGAGCTCCTGGCTTCCAAGGAATACTGGCTGGCTGGCGCTGCCAGCCCCACCACCTCCCACTCCCTTCCCGGAGCAGGTAGCAACCTCCCTGGAAAATCCTTATCTGCTCTGGTGTTCAATTTTTGCGTTTGTTTAGTCCTAAAAGCCTGCCTTTGGACTCTGTGCCGTCGTGGCACGGCAGCCTCCGGCAGCAAACAAGGGGCAAACAAACTTCCCAGGAAGGAACAATGCAGTTGGCTCCATTGTTCGCCCCAGCCTGCCATGTCCTGGCACCGGGGTTTATCGTCATCTGTGTCTGTAAACTGTGGTTATGTCTTCAGCTGGTGGAAAGCTGTCAGCATGGAGCTGCTCTTGGTCTGGACAGCTGGATGTTCAGACCTTTCTGGCTCTGTGCCAAGGGATGATTTTTTATCGTGGAGTCTAGAGAGCTTGAATTCATTGGTAGCATTTTTTAGTGAAGGCGTAAGCAAGACTGGTCACTTCTGCATGCTTTTCTACCACCTTGGCTCTTAAGCTGCACCACATACGTTTACAGAGTTGGCTGGCTGAAAAGGGAGAGCTTAGCTCTTGGGAACGAACACTCATTGAGTCGAAATGAGCACAGGTCGCAGAGGCTGTGTGTTCACCACTTCTCACTGGGAAGTCACAGTCCTTCATGGATTTATCTAACCCTGATGTTTTGCCTTCCTGCCAACCTTGTGTTGTTGCAGAGACAATGGTTTTGACTACCTGGAGTTTCGTCTCTGGATTGGCCTTTGGTCAGCTTTCCAGTGTCTCATTCTCGTCGCTACTGATGCCAGCTTCCTGGTCAAGTACTTCACCCGCTTCACCGAAGAAGGCTTTTCCTCTCTTATTAGCTTCATCTTCATTTACGATGCTTTCAAGAAGATGATCAAGCTGGCAGATCATTACCCGATCAACTCTGAGTTCAAGGTGGACTATATTACGCATTACTCTTGTGCCTGTGAATCATTTAATCCAGGTAAGAGAATGTTTAATTAGCTCTCCAATCTGCAGATAGGAGATTGCATTTGCTTTCTTTTTCTGTTGTGCTGCAGTTCAGGTAATAAAGAGGTAGATTAAATCTTTATCAGTTATCTTCAGATATCCTATCTTAGCCTCATTTTGAAGCTGAGGAGTGAATTTCACCCTACGTGCCAGCTGGAATGTCTTTATAGCCAACCTTCCTGGGACTCCTCATGGAAGCATCAGTACCAGTGGGGAACTGTCTATGTACCCTTGTCCCCTTGAATCCCTGTGGCTGTTGATTTTGAATGGCATTCCTCCGAGAAGTCTGTGAAGAGGCAGAAGGGGTGGCCAGGTCACTGCCACGGTGCTCAGGTCACTCCTGGTATACACTGTGCCATTTTCTCAAGTGCAGGAGCTGGATTTTTTCAGGGCGTTAGCCAAACATGCGTGGTTTTCCACCTCCTGGCTGCGCGTATGAGTGATAAAGCACAAACAGTTCCTCGCTAAGGCAGAAGGGAAGGATATCCAACCGCTTGACCTATCGCTGGAGCGTGGGCTGCAAGGCATGTCTAGCCAGCATACGTATAGATCTGGCAACGCAACTGGGAACAAAAGGTTACAACCCAAATGCAAACAGAAGTACACCAGCTGATGGTACATTAGGGAAGCTGTGACCACTCCTAGGATCCTTCAAACAATGAGAAGTGAGTAGGGAGCTTGGTTTGTGCTCAAAGTAAACTTCAGGTTATCTTGACATAACCGTCAAACAGGAAAAGTTTCTGGGTGCTGCTGGCTGCCTCTGCGCAAAAGCTGTTGGGAACTGGATCCTTAGGAGCTATTTGCTTATGTTAGTTATTAAATGTAGGACCTCTGCAAGCACTTGGATGTTGGTCTAGTTCTGCTTGTGTTTGAACGGCAGGGTGGTTTCTTTTTTGGAGGTAGGATGATGGGGAGTGGTCAGCGCCGAATTGAAAGTCTCCCCATCTAAAGGCCTACGGCACAGACCCAGCGCCCAGGACAAGCGTGGCAGTGCAGCTGGAATGTGTAGAGGAAACAGATCATGTGGCAGAGCCCACACGTTATTTCATGAGAGATCTGTGCCTGGAAATACACTGCTGGTTGTAACTGCTGTAAGCTAGCAGGGGGAGGATCAGGATGTGTGGTTTGATAAAGCTCCCAAACCCTCACTGCCACGGTCCTCTTTTCATCTGATTAGCTAGAAGTTTGTTTCAGAGAGTAAAGATGACCGTATCATCATCATCTCCAAGCGTTTCTTCCTTAGTTTTTCAAGTAGTATTGTATAAGCCTCGAGTGGGAGTGACCGGGTAGTACTGATAGTGCGGGGACCCTTGGGGCTTGGCTCCAGCCCCACCAAGCTCCTGCTCGGGTCTGCCTGGGTCTGGGGCACCTCGGGCACAAAGGCCAGCACTGCAGAAGCCAGAGTTGAGGGAGAAGATTGGAAACAGCAACCTGTCTGAGAATGGAGCAGCTAAGAGAGTGATCCCGTATTTAAACTCAGTCCAGGATAGGCTCAAAAAACCCATTTGAGCCTTCTGTGTGTAAAGCATCAAGTGCTGGGGTTACAGTACTGGCCGAGCAAGTGTCACTAGCTGGGTCCTTTGGCTCTTCTCATCCCTTGCTTGGTGGCTTGTCCTTCCCCACTGGATTTGATGCACAGAAGCAAGGAGTTTTCCAGAGGAACAAATAGACTGTTAAATAGTTGCTAGCCTGTCAGTCATGACACTGACACTTTGGCCTTTCCCAGGTCTGAAATACAGCCATACATGCCTGTGTCTGTATAACTGTGTCTCTGCGTAAACCCAGGCAGCATCTGTAAGCAAAAGACAGCACAGATTTAATTCCTGCTCCTTAAGTAAACAGGTTTCCACATCAGCTGCTCATCATAGCTACAGAGGAAGTTTTCTCTCATACCACTAAACAGTAAATCAGCAGCAAAGTAGTGAGCAACAGCCAGCACAGAGTCAAAGCCAAACGCTTTCACAAAGGGGCTCTGCAGCCTCTCCGACTCTGCTTGTTTTTAAAGATTGCTCTGCGTCTATGCTTACAGCCATGCAATGGGAGTCAGTCATTTTGCTCACTAAACACAAGTGGCCTTATTCTCCACGTCCTGCCTTCTTCAAAGCCCTGTATAAGATGACAAAGTAGAGGCAGAACATCATCGTTGCACTTCTGGGATGTTTGCTAGCTGCTCAGCACGGTGTCACTGACCCGGGGTGGCTCGGGGAAAGGGGTATCGTGCAGCTGGGTGGGCTCTTTGCCTTTTGGCTCTGGATGAACACACTGAGGAGGATGGCACAGCGTAAGATAAGCAAGGAGATCTGAGCTTAACCCAGAGCAAGCTGCCATCCCGGTGGGGTAGTGAACGTCTTGGAAACAAAGCTCAAGACTGTAAAGTCTTGCAGTAGCAGGTTTTGTAAGCAGATACCAAGAGAGCATTAGGACATCAATTATCAATTATCAACATTATTATGCTGACATTTCCTCTCTAATAGTTTGCAAGCTTTCTCTCCTGCCTCAGGAAACAGAATGAAAATGCATGTGTCAGGTTAGGGAGAGGGTATGCCTGGTTCTAGGAATCAAAGCGTGATGCGGCGCTGGGTGCTTTCTTTCCAGTGCTTTTCCTCTAGTGAGGATAACATCTGCTGCTGCTGGGGGGTTGTAAGCAGTGCTTGATAAGCTGTTGAGGCTGTGCTGGTTGGAGGGAGATTCGTTTAGTTTTTTTAGTGTGTACATGTAAAGCTTTATGGGTTTTGTCATTCTGCAGGTGAAGCTGACTCTTCTTCCCTCATACTCTGATTCAGGCTTTTTACAGCTGGTTTTCATCTCTCTGTCATTTAGATTTGGCTCCAGAGCGTTAGCATCAGCCCTCAGCTTGCGTTGCTCGGTTTCTAGCCCGGTTCTACCTGCACTCCCGCTTGCAGGGGCCTCGGAAGGCCAGCGAGCAGCGTCTCGCCAGCCCCATCATGCTTTCCGCAGGACCTTAAAATAATGCCTTTGAAATTCCCTGCGGGATTTGCTCAGGCAATAATTACTTGGTGTGTCCCACAGGGACTTCCCTTTGGTCCTTGCACCTCCTGTCTGTGTCTCTGAGCGAGCAATATTTTAATACACCTTAAATGTTCTTATCAGACATAAAAGTTTATGTGCAAAACCTAAATAAAACCTGAGGACATATCTGACAAGCCTGTTTTCAGGGAGGATTGCATTTCTAAATGAAATTTCAAATAAATTATTTCTAATCCCATGAAAACAAAAGGAAAATGTGTATCATTGTCACAGTGAATGCTGCCCCTTTTTTGAAAGAAATTATCTCCATCCTGGTGATTTCAATTACTCTTTATCTTTTTTTTTTAACTCAAAAAAATGTGTTTGTGCTGGATTCTGAAATGCATTTTGCTTTTCTAGATATCTTTGGGGTTGTGCATTAACTTTAAATTAATATTTAGGAGTATTCTGTTAATATTTATTATAATCCAGAAATCGTTAGAAAAATATTTCAAACCCGTGAAATACTATATTGCCTGTCTGGGTTTCTATATCTTTTTTACAATGAGGTCCAAAAAAAACCCGTTAGGCTTGAATTATGTTTCACTTAGTCTTTTATTTCTGTTTATTAAGTGACTGATGCTTTTGGGTCACTCTGAAACAATACTTTTGACTTGCTTTACTTGAGCAAAGAGATTGCAAACAGTTGGATGGAGTTAACAAATGACTTAGTAGCTGAAATTTGCTTTCCTTCCTAACCATTTCGGCACCACGCTCACGGTATTCCTTTTTCTGTCCTCCCTTGCAGTTAATAGCTCGTTATTGAACAGGACAACGGTGCCGTCAGCTGATGAGCTGTTCTATTCCTCTGCTGACATGGTAAGTGCCCTTTGCGAGGGCAGGGATTATATGGTCTTTGAGGTCTCCGAGTGCTGTGTGTTTCTGATGGGCCGTGCCAGTAGGTCAGGAATCGATCGCGTGAAGAAAACCCTCGCACCGACACTCCCCCGCTGCCCGTGACACTGTGGAAGTGTGACACTGCTCCTCTTGGCATGCTCGCAGGGTCCTCCAAGGGTTTCTCATAGCACTGTATGCAGAATACTGTGTGCATGATTTGATAAAAATAATTACTTGCTAATAGCTGCCACTTTCTTGCAGTCTGATCTCTGTGTGTTGGCAAGATGCAGATGGTTCTCCGGGGCATTAGTCAGAACCTTGTGTCCAGGGCTGTAATGGCCAGCATTTCTGTTGTGGCCAGCCCTTCCTTTGGAAGATCCTGTTTTCATCCCATTCTTTGATTTTTCTGTAGCTAACCCTGGCTTTTCCACATTTCACTCCAGCGGTGAGCTTTGGATGACAAGGAGAAAGAGATGGAGCTTGGCTGGGCCAGATACATTTGTGTTGAATGCAGGGGAAGTAAGTTGAGACACAGAGGAACAACTTTCTGCTGAAGAATACAGATCCTAGCTGTCTGCATTTCTTTTCACGGGGTGGCCACTCTGGTGTGGCATCAACTGGCCAAGCAGGAAAGGAATGGTTTCTGAGCTGGACACTCCGTCTCCAGGCACGAGTCTGAAGGCAAACCTTTGCCCAAGGTTCCCCGGGGAGGGGTCAGTCGCAGGGTGAAGAAATAGAATCGAGGTCTCCAGATGTCCAGGCTGTACCTTTACTGCTCCTTGCCTTCTCCACTGCCCCACCTCCATCAGCTGGCTGTGGTCCCTAAGCATCTGAGCTGGCTGCCTCTGGAAGGGCTGGAAGCGAGGTCCTCCTTGTTCAGCTGCCTGCCACAGAAACTAACGCTTGGGGAAGTGTTTTGGAAAGGGCAGGGTGCCATGCTCTCCACACAGATGCTCTGCACTAGCCCTGGTCCTCCCGGGGGAGCCAGCTCAGGGCACAGAGCTCAGCTCTGTTTCCAAGCTCCTTTTTGGATGCTTTAGAGTTTCAAAGCAAAATAAATGTCTGGGGACACATGAACAGGGATTTTGGGAATGGGAAAAGCAGCCCTGGTACAAATCCTGCCAGGCAGCTCTCGGGGGAATGAAGCAGGTCTCCCAGAGAAGAGAGATGCCCTCTTTTTTCGGCTCTCTGATAACCCATGTGATAATCTTACTTATTGAATACTCTCTGAGGCTTGTTTCTGTACATGTAAAATTGCAAAAAGTAAAACATGCTCCCAAATATTTGGTTTTTTAGTTTATCTCCCTGCTTTGAAAGCCTCGTTTGCTCTCCCCTCTGTTGCCATCCTGAAGTCAACAGTCAGGCCAGATCTGCACACATCCTCTTGATAAGGGACAAAGCACTGCTGCTTGATGCTGTGGAGACAGTGCTGAGAGATCAAATGTAGCAGCACCTTGTCAAACAACAGCAGAGCTGAGGGGTGGTTGTTGCCATGGGTTTTTTTCCCACCACCACCATCAGTGTCAGCAAAATCATGTCTTGGATTCACAGCATTTGCTGAGGAAGCTGAAGTTTATTACATACTGCTTCAGACCACAACTTCATAGGCATCCAGTTTGTAGGGAACGTGATGTGTTTTGTAACGTCCACACATGAACAAGATACTGTTAGGTGCAATGTGAGGCCATGGACCTTTTGGCCTCAGCTCAGTACCTTACATGTTTTCAAGATTTCCAATAGCAGTTAGGGAGTGGAGTTTCCTACTGAAAATGTCACTGACACACAAAAGGATATTTTGCACCTTGAACTTCATTTTGTACATAAAGAACATCCTTTAACTGGTAAACTGCTTGTTGGTGTGGATTAGTCAGTGCCCACATTTGTGACAAATTCTCTGTAACTTAACTATTTGGCATAAAATATTCTTTCCTCTTTATGCATTTATTCATTTTGAGTTATTTTAAAACATCATCTCTCTCTGATGTCATGGTCCCCAGGCCTATGGTTTCCTTCACTGGGGTTTTCACGCAGAAAAGGAGCAGAGAGGATGTGGTGCTAAAAATCCCCTGACTGACAGTATTTTGTAGGTACCTAAAAATACTTAACATTTTTCTTGGTGTTAGCATATACTCTGTGCATTCCCACTCTCCCCTCAGACAGTGCTCCCTGTGCCCACCTGGGATAGCCTCGGGAGCTCGCTGCTACATGCATGTTTATGTTCTTGGCCTCTCATGCATTTGGATTTGTACTGTCCTCGTCTCTGAGCTGACATGATTTTGAGTTATGCAGAGTGAGGAAGGGAAAAGCCTGTTCCTGGGGCTCTGCTTCACCACAAGCATTAGAGAACAGGTGATTATCTGACGTGTTCTGTGCAGCTCTGTGTTCCATGATGAGGAATGAAATCCCAGCAGTGCCTCCTTGTCTGGCCATCGCAGTCAGTCGTTAGTAATGAGGTGTTCAAATGAGTACAGAAGCAATTAATGGAAATTAAAGTACAAGTTCTTATTTGGCAAGACTGTGGGGAAGAGCCCCTCAGCTCTTGCTGAAATCCAGGGAAACTTCTATCTGGGGGTGTTGTGTTCAGTCCCCACAGGTGAGCTGGTGCCCTAGGACATCTCTGCAGTGACAGGCAGGTTTTACCAGCTCGGCAGAGTCCTGATCTGCCCCTGTGCTGCCCCAGTGCCCTGAGGAAGGCAGGCTGAGGGACACTGGGTCTGGAGGGCTCTGCTGGGCTATAGCAGAGAACCTCAGCATCCTTCCGATGGCTTGTCTGTAAAACGGGGTATTTTGGTAACTCCAGCTCTGCGGAGCAGCACAAGTACTGTTGAGTATTTACAGCATGCACCGGCTTTTTCTTCGCATGCCTGGCATTCTGTGGGCACTAGTAAACTTTTACCAGATACACAGGAGGATCCCAGAGCTGAGCTCTGTGTGCAGCCCAAGACCAGATCAGCTCATTCAGCAGCAGGGCTGTGTCCTGTGCAGGGTTACTCAGCCTGCAGCAGCGTTGCTCCCCATCCTTCAGCCCAGGGCAGTTGGCACTGTGTGGTGGAGGTGCTCAGACCGTGTCAGAAGAACACCCAGCAGTGGCATCGTGGTGCGGGGATGCCTGTGCAGAGGCCTTCTGACACCAGTGGGCATCAGGCGAGCTCAGGCCTTAGAAAAGGCAAGGAGGGAGGTTTTCTGCTGTGGAAACAGTGCTTGTCTTGACCCGAGAGAAGCAGGTTGGGTTTGGTGTTGCTTGCAGTGAACAAGTAATGAGAAGTGGGTGTAGAGGTGGTCTCAGGCCACTCCAGTTTCTGCATAAGGTTTCCAACATTGCCTTTCCACTGGAGAAAATGCAGACTGTGTCTGGCAGACCACAGCAGAGGTCACAAGATCTCTGTCTTCTTTCCAAGGCCCAGACTGTCCTCAGTTCCCATGTAGTATCATCCTCTGTCTGGTTTAAAATCCATCCTGTCCTGTGCACAAGCAGAGGGATTTTTAGCCTCTCCACCATGCCTCCCTTTCGCTCCCAGTATTTTTCCTGATGCTCTGTCCCTGTTCCTGTCTGGTCATGAGCAGCTTATGCATGGCTTTATGGGAACCTTCTCTTTTTTCCTGCAGTACAACACCACCATTGACTGGTCATCTCTGACAACGGAGGAGTGCTTGAAATATGGAGGACAGCTCGTGGGCAACAACTGTGGATATGTCCCTGACATCACCCTCATGTCTTTCATCCTCTTTTTTGGCACTTACACCTGCTCCATGGCCCTGAAGAAATTCAAGACCAGTCGCTATTTTCCAACCACTGTAAGTATCTCCTTTCACCCTAGCACTCTGTTTCTTCCCTCTTTCAGAGTGCGAAGATCAGCCTTCCTTGTGGTGTAGCTGTCACACATGCAGGGAGGTAGGCTTTGCAGGTGTGCTGGGTTCAGCCA